ACTGCGCACGAGTTTACGTTTTAAATGAAAACTAGCTGTAAGTGGAATTCTGTCTTAAGGCAATTAAGGCATCGTGCCTTAAGGCAAATTGCTGAAACTTCCCGTACCAAAAACTATTATTTTTTTAAAAACGATTAACATTTTTTGAAAAAAAAAAAATACTTTGAAAAAATAAGATTTTTGAGAAACTATAAATTCGACAAAAATTACTTTTCTTTGAAAAAAAATTTAAAAAAAAAAAATTTTTTTTTGTGAAAAATTTTTTTTTTCTTTATTTTGACATATTGTGGAAGATCTGAACTTTTTTTTCAGAGCAATCGTACTGCTTTAACTGCATAGGGACAAAATATAAAGCGCGTAAGAAGTCGCTGTCTAACGCATAAGCATTGGTACGAAACCCATAGGAATGTTAACAAAATGTATACTTATTGTTAAAATCTCTATAAAATATCTGATAATTTGATGTGCATATGTCTAATGATCATTTTTGACCGCCAAATGGCTCATTTTTTTACTTTTTCCTCCATATCTCCGAAACCGCTAGACCTATCTTCATGAAAATTTTATCGATTATTCATCTTGTCAATACAAGTGAAATGTATATATATGTAATGTGGTGTGTATGTTTGGATACAAGTTTTTGTCCAGGATTTCGGGAGCACGAATCAACCGATTGAATAATTCAAAAAACATTCGAATCGTATAGATAAGGAGACGTGCTCATTAGTTTTTGACAAAGACAGGTCTAGCCGTTCCAAAGATACGGGGCAAAAAGTGCCAAAAACGGTAACTCTAACGGTCTGATTTTAATAATTCAAAAAATATTTTATTTGTATTGACAAGATAAACAACTGTTTAAATTTTTGGGAAGGCAGGTTTTCGGTTTGAAAGATCCAGTATAAAATTAAAAAAAAATTCGCGGTCAAAAATGATCATTAGACATATGCACTTCAAATAATCATATATTTTATGAGGATTTAAATCACAAGTCAAAAAAACATTTTTTGCCAGAATTTTTTTTTCCAATTAATTCAATTTTTTTTCAAAAATTTCAAATTTCTCAAAAATTTAATTTTTTATATCTTTTTAAAAATTAATAATTTTTGGTACGGGATGTTCCACATTTGCCTTAAGGCACGATGCCATACACCATTAGTTTTTTTGTTATTTTAATTTTTTTTGAAGATCTTGAACTTTTTTTTACAAAACAATCAGGCCGCGTCGCAGTCAAACGGATAAACATTGGTTGGGACCCATAGAAATGTTAACAAAATTTGTTCTTATTATTAAAATCTCTATAAAATATGTCAAAATTTAGTATGCATATGTCTAATGATCATTTTTGACCGCCAAATGACATTTTTTTTACTTTTATTATTTGATCTCCAAAACCTGCCTTCCTAAAAATTCAATATTCAATTCATTTTGTCAGTTCGACTCTCCGTCCTCTCAAAAAACTAAATTACCATTTTGCTCCGTATCTTTGAAGCGGCTGGACCTGCCTTGGCCAAAAACTAATCAGCGCATCTTCTTGTTAATAGGAATCAAATGTTTCTTGAATCATTCAAACCGGTTGAACCGTGTTCCCGAAATTGTCGACGAAATTTTGTATCCGCACATATATACATATACACACATGCACACACACACAAACATTAATTTTTTCTAAGGTATACCAACATGTTCAGAAACCTTTGAAACGTAAAGGAATACTAACAAAATTATTTTCGATTTTTGCGATTATGAAAAATCCAATAAAGCGCGGTTTAAAACAAATTCACTAATAAAGACAATTCGAACATTTTAATACTTAATGAAAACATTGTACTTCAAATTGATTGAAATTTCAATGACGATATTTGTGTTTGGAACTGCTGACTTACATCTTTAGGACACTATTTTGATTTTTTTAATTTTTTTTCTATTTATATGTGGTTCTTAATACGTGGCAGACGAAGATGAATGGAGACGAAGCAAGCCGATATAATCAAAATCGTTATAAAGATAACTGTACAAATGAATAAGTAACACCAGACGGCATATTATATTTTATGCGATAAAGGAGCAATCAAATTTTTGATATGAGAATAATCTTTTATCAATGGTGACAGCATCCAGTTCCATCCCACAACTTTTGTGTATTAAATTTTTATTCTTGATGCTAATAGGCACTAATTTCAAAATTCAACAGACACGAGGATAAAAAAAAGAATTCAATACTATGACACATAATTGATAATGTATTAGAATAGATGTGCGTTTTAATGAGTTGAAGCATACTGATCTTTTGTCGCATTTAAATTCGGCCAGACGCATGAGTTTATGTTGATTAAATATTTGCATAAAAAGGCGTAAATCGCATTTAATTGTGTGATATTAAGTAGATTATCAACATTTTGAGTAGTAAATGATCAAAACAAATTCAATTATTAACATTTTTATTTTGTATATCGTTTTGTAAATATCAAATTTTTAGAAAAAATATCATTTTGTATTAATAGTTAATGTCTATTCATTTTTTAGGCTTAATCCTCGTCAATAACTTTTGCAATAACGAATGGTAATTACCTAACAATAGAAAACAAATGGCGATACCTAATAACAGAAAAAACAGAATGCAAAGAAATGTGAATTTAAAATATAGTCTTACAAGCATTTTCAGAAAGAATTATAATAACTAAATATTTTGATTTGCAAAACTATACAGTTTAGGTATCATTGCCGCTGTTAACATGCACGCCCATAAATAGGGATTAATTAATCAATCAATCGATGACTGTTTTTGAATACCAAAAGTTAGCGCAGAGTTTAAAGCCTTCAAAATACTTAAAATAATTATTCATTTTCCTACAACATTTCTATATTAAAGTATCTTCATCTTGTGTTTCGAACACCATCAATAGAGATTGCTGTGACCCGACTTTCGGTGATTGTGAATCATCGTGCGATTGCGACTGCGACTGGGATTGTGGCTGTGAATGCGAATAAGCATTCATATTCCGGTCTTTGCAACAGGAGGCAGACGATGTCTGTGATGTCGTTTCCCACGATTGCTCACCGTGATTTGCAACTGCTTCCGTTTCGGTTTCGTTAGTCTTTGACTGAAAACCAAAAGTATTTGGTTTGGAGAATGACAAAAGCTAATAAAAAATTAATGCCTCATGTGGTACTATCGTTTTATATTGTTGTATTTATTGCAAATAATATTTTATACCTCACTATGGTTAGGTTTTCCTCTTCTAAATCTCAAAGTTTTTCTACTTTGGGCTTTGGAACGTTGGAGTCGCGATTTGTTATGTTCTCGCATTCCAGAATCTAGCACAGGACTGGATGGATGACTAGGGGAATGAGGGCTTGTACTTTCATTCACAGTAGAGGGGGCTATATATCATAAAATAATTTAAACAATTATAAAAAAATCACAATATAGAATATATCACATGCAAATAAGGCCATTATTTGTTCTACGATACATTTTATTAAGGATATGAACAAATCTATTCACCAAAATACAAACATGACACGGATGACAATTTAAGCGTACGCTGGATTAAGGTAATACATTTATTTATTGACAATATTAAAATAAGTTTTTTTGCTAAAGATGTAAGAAAAAGGTTATTATGTCCCTTACATTGATCAAAACGGTCAATCGTTTACGAAATGACTTTTTACCTTTGCTAGCTGCAGTTGTTTGTGAAGTGTTTTCTCCGGGTATACAGTTAGCTGCTTTTTGCTCCATGCCAGTAAGTAATGATATCAAAGATGGTCTTTGATATCGTCCTCCGTCGCATGAATGTGGATAAGAAATATATACTTCTGTAGCACGTCTATGTGTTTCGGCTGCAGTTTGCTCTATAGATAAAAACACGACTACTGTAACAATTTATTTTTAAAATCAAAATGCTTTAATATATTCTTACGGTATTTATGCTCTTCTAATTCATCTTTTAATTCTCTCAATTCGCGTGCAAGATCTAACAGAAGTGCGCCTCTTGAACGTGGACTTGCAGAAGGAGGGGTTCCTCTCATTCGTTCCCTAATTAAAAACTGCATATGCCGCTCATGATCTCCAATAGGTGGTTGACTTATCTGCAATAAAAATATGCTTTCCAATCGAATACTAATTTAGCAAATATAAACCAGATCAACAAAATTAAATACCTTATGAAGTAAGAATGGTTGTAAAACGATATAAAGGGGAGTGCGATGAGTTACAACAAATTCCAAAAAACTCCATAGTTCTGGTGCAGCTTCGTTTCTTCGACCAAGATCTCGCATAACTCGTGCTATGCGGGACCAATCTCGAGACAAACGCTGCTCAAAGCAAACGCAAAGAACTCTTAACGCTAAAATTAGAAATATTAAAAGTATATATAATTCCTAAGGTTAAAATATTATACATGTTTACATAGAATAACAAGTAAAGAACCTAAAAAAGCGGCTTGATAAAGGGTGCTCCGCACTCTAGCTGGGCGTTTGGTTTCCCTACTTCCTGTAAATGTAAGTGATCCTGCTCTTGCATCAACAACACTTCTTACACCACCTCCACCACTAATTGCTCCGCCAACTACACCAGCTCCACCCGGTGGAGACATGGCGTTTAGTACCACAGTTACTAGAAAGCTTATATCGTTCTGATGCAGTTCGGCGACATCTAAATAATTTCATCATTTAATTCTCAATCAATTTTAAAATACATATACAAATTCTTATAAAATACCTCCTCTACCACTTCCTACTCGCAAACAAAGTGGAATGATAAGATTCATCAAAGATATCTCGGCTTTTTCCTGTGATGGAAATTCGGCACTACCTCCGCATATTTGTTCCATTATCGAACAATCCTGAAAATAAAAGCAAATTATAAATATATTGCTTTATCTAGGTTGATTTAATATTAATAAACATGATGTTCATCAACTTACTCCAGCACTGACAACTTGAAGAGAAATAAGGCGAACAACTGTTGAGCAAAAGTGTGCTGGCGGCGCTTGTGAGACAGCTGCTGCACCCGCAGATCCTGCTGCGGGCGGTGCATCATGCGCTCCTGGTTCACTGGCCACAAGACCCTGACATGTATTAAGCAATGCACGTACATGCTGCCAATGCAGAGCATAAGGAAAACGCTGCAGTGTTTCATGAACGCCCTTTAATAAACCAGCAGCAGCCTCCCAATCCGTATTACGCTGTGGAATTTAAAAAATTAAAATTATGAAACGGGAAACATCTACTATTTACCAAACAATATCTATAATCCAGATTAGGAACAAATCTGATTGAAAGAATATGATTGAGTTTCAAACTAGTGGGGCGCATGGCATCGTACCTTAAGGCAAATTGCTGGAATTTCCCGTACCGTAATTAAACATTCGAGAAATGAAAAAAATCAATAATAGTTTTGAATAATAATTGTTTTGACCGCCAAAAGGCAGTTTCAAAAATTTTTTTTGCCTCGTATCTTCGAAACGGCTAGACCTGCGTATGCCAAAAACTAATCAGCACGTCTCCTTATCAATACAAATCGAATGTTTTTTAAATTATTCAAATCGGTTGATTCTTGTTGTTGAGAAGGTTTGAAACGTAAAGATATATAAAAATTTCAATTTTCGATTTTTTTGCGATTACTATAACATACCCTACGGGAAGTTAATAAACATTATCATGTATATTGTTTTTACAAAAATAATAAAAAACCGTATTTGATAACCGTGTATGTATTTATTAAAAACTGCTCATGGCTGTTAATTATGAAATCAATCTCTAGCTTTACATGATCTGGATTTTTTTAAACGTAATCATTGAATTTTTTAACTATGTTTTTGCATTATCAATTTTACTGCAAATTAATTACGATACTGACCTTTCTAATACAATAAGATATTTATAATTTTATCACATTGCCTCTGCCTTATACAATCGAAATAGATTAACAATTAATCAAAACATCATTGTTAAAGAATATTATTCGATTGTGAGAACAATTGAATATGTTAAATACAAGACAAAAGGTTTACTTAAATATTTTTGCCCAAATGCATTGAATATACTGTGCGCAATCAAATAACAAAAACGGCATCAAATACAATCGAAATGGATAATCAAAACATCATTGTTAACGAATTTATACCATTCGATTGTGAAAGACAGAATTTATAAAATAATTGAAGATATTGAATGCAAGGTATAATGCTTCGACTCCACAAATATTTATTTAAATATTATTGTCCAAATGCATTGAATACTGTGCTCTATAAAATAACAAAAAACAGCAACAATATGCCTGGTACAACTCATGTGTGTTTTTTTTATCAATAATGATAGCTACACAGCAATCACAACTCATTAAACTGATATATAAATTTACATAGATTGAAAATAATAAGTCGGGTGTTAATTATGCTGCATGCAGTATAATAATGATTTTTGCGTGAAAATTAGTAGTTTTGTTCAAATTAAGAGTTTTGAATATTTGTTGTAGCAATAACAGGTTGCTTGGCATAATAAATGATGTCATATAATCTGCAACTACAAAACACACAGCATAGTAAAAAAGAATAAATAGTTGAATTTGTCAGCTTTAAAACTTAAATAGCACCGGGCAATAAGATGAATTTCACCGCACAATAAATCATATACTGGTTACAATTGAGCTAAGATACTTCATCATAATAGTGGCTTCACCGATCGATCCAAATTTGAGTAGCAAATTTAAAACTAGTTGAGAAAAATTATTTAGATGCCTTAATACAGAGTGAATCTTTATGCAAATTATCGAAAATAAGACGCATATAGCAGATGTTATTAAGTTACATATACATTGAGATACATGATACAATGATGACATAATAGTAGTAATTTATAAAGAAGATGCACTGATATGGTATAGTGCATGTTCAATCACGTGCATCCTAATTTGAAGCAATTGGCGTGGAAAAAATTAAACGCGGGACGGGGATGTTTAGTTATGTTTTTGAAATTCAACTCAAATATGTTTTCAACTTCCCGTAGGATAAGGTTTAGTAAACGCAAAAAAATCTAAACTGAATTGTTTTTACATATTTTTACGCTTTAAGGTTTTCTGGTAAGATGAATGTATGCGTATGTGTATGTGTGTATGTATGTATGTTCGAAAACAAAATTTCCTTCATGATTCGATAGCACGGACCAACTGATTTGAATAATTCAAAACACATTTTACTTGTATTGACGGAATCAAGAAATTATAAAATTTTAGGCAGGTTTAAAAAATCCATTTGGCGATCAAAAATGATCATTACACTTGTGTCCATTAACTTATTAGATATTTTATAGAGATTTTGAGTACAAATGTTTACATTTCTATGGTTTCCGTACCAATATTTATAACGTTTAAAACACCTACGCAGCGCGATCGCATTGAAAAAATTAGAATACTTAATTTTTTTTTAAAAAAATTTGAAATTTAGAATTTCAAAATTTTCAAAAAAATTGAAAACTTGTAATCATTACACTTGTGTCCATTAACTTATTAGATATTTTATAGAGATTTTAATAATGAGTACAAATTTTGTTTACATTTCTATGGTTTCCGTACCAATATTTATAACGTTTAAAACAGCTACGCAGCGCGATCGCATTGAAAAAAATTAGAATACTCAATTTTTTTTTATAAAATTTGAAATTTAGAATTTCAAAATTTTCAAAAAAATTGAAAACTTATAATCATTACACTTGTGTCCATTAACTTCTTAGATATTTTGTAGAGATTTTATTAATGAGTACAAATTTTGTTTACATTTCTATGGTTTCCGTACCAAAATTTATAACGTTTAAAACAGACACGCAGCGTGATCGCATTGAAAAAAATTTGGAATACTCAAACAATTTTTTAAAAAATTTGAAATTTTGAATTTCAAAAATTTCAAAAAATTGAAAGCTTATATAATAATTTTAAATCACGGTACGGAAAGTTCCAGCAATTTGCCTTAAGGTACGATGCCATGCATCGTTAGTTTTAATTATTTTGTAATAAAAGTATACAAAAGAAATACTAGTTTAGGATATAATAAAGTTTATATTAAATATTTAGTAAAAAAATCTTTCATATCTTTTTAGATAATAGATCTTTTTAGTGGGTATTTTTGGCATTCAGCATTGTATATAATTTTCTAAATTTATGCATAATTAGTTTAAGTAGGTAATATCGCTTTTAATGCATCTATTTCAAGTATTTTGATATTCACAATTTCTTCGGTTCAAATATAATGCTAGCTGTAACACATTCAAAACAAATATTGAAAATAAGTATCTTTTTACAAATTCGACGCAAATAAGGCAAAAAACCTGAGTGCGGGACAAAGATTTCTTATAGGAAAATCTGAGACGCAAGGTAAAATTCCGGAACTGTCCAGGCCAATCCGGGACGTATGATCAAATTTGTTTAAAACACATACATTTTCTGAGCAAACGGATTAAAAAGAGTTAACTAAAACATTCAACGCTAAGTTAGCACTTTTTAGAATCCAAATAATAAAAAAAACAGTAAGTTTTTTGTTGTGACATTTCGGGACTAGGTACTTCAACACACATTCGCATATAATTAATGATAAAAATGCTGAAATATTTATCTTGTAAGAAATCTATTAATTTTATTTACCCGAATCGACGGCTTTTTTGAAATCTTAAGAAACACTTTATCCAACCGTCTAAGAATAGTAGTCAATGCTGGTTTCATAGCGTCATCCAACCAGTCCGCTCGAGGCAAAATGCTTGTTACATATCGTTGTAAGCCTCTGCATGCCATTGATTCTGGATCATATGGTGACACTTTCAATAATGAATGTGCAATATCTGCTAGTCTCTAAAATAATATGCTCCTGTATATTTGCATGCAAAATAATAAAAAGACGAGCTTTAGTAGGTTTGAACTTACAACATGCGATCTGGCGTCAAGCAAATCTATTGGTTTGGAATCTTGGAAACCTTGCTTCCTCGATAATTCGGTTAGTCGTGTACAACAACGGCTAAGAAACTCACCTACTAGTGACAACAAAACATCACGTGGCCTTCGATATTCTGCACGAACCAGCTAAAACCAGAAGGAACAAATATAATATCTTCATAATTTTTGATAGTATTGAAATAAAAGAAAATAATTATGTTTACCTCAGAATCTTCAGCGCCTGCTTCAACCATTCCCGATTTATTTCTACCTAAATCACTCATATATTTTGAATGTGACTCGTCTTCAAATTCCAATCCTGGCGAACAAGGAGGGCCTTTACTGCAATTTCTTTGACTAGATCCTTTATGTTCAGGGCTGTTTCTATAAGGTCCATTATAACTTCTAACAAATACATTAATATATTAGAAATAAAATAAAACAGAATTTAAGCATTTTAAGTAAATCACATACTTTGATAAGCCTTCACAGTTATTAACTAAAGTTTTTATCACGATTGCAAGTTGCAAAATTATATCTCGTTCAGATTTTCCTTCTCTATAGTATGTAGGTAGTTGAATTTGTTTAATATAGCAAGGTAAAATAGCTTCTAAGATGATCTGAAATTGATTATTTATTAATAAATATAATATTTTAATATAAATTAATTAATAATATTTTTTGCAAATACCAGCATTTGGTAACCCCTAATAGATTCCGCTGAATAAGATACCACCATAACACACAGAGAAATGCAATCGAGAACAGTAACCATTTCGTTTTCGTCATGATAACAGAAATCAATAGCTCGCAATGGTTTAGTTTCCTTCACTAATTCAGATATGTTAAGTGGATCAGGAGATGGCGTTTCTAAACTCAATAGCAGATTAAAAAGACAACTTGATTGAACCTGCAAAACAATGTAATTCATAAAAATATAAATTGATATACGATTGAATTCTCCAAATGTAATTATTCTCTTACCTTATGGGCGTCGCCGTACGTACTTTCATCATCAGTATCTAATATTGCCGAAACTGAGCCAAACATTTGCAAAATAAACGGCTTTCTGTTCATTAAATAAAACTGTTTAACAGCATATTCTACGGTTGTTGTTACCAATTTATTTGTTTGATGATGAGAATATATTTGCAATAATGTCGGCATGATTAACAGATATCTAAAATTATATAAAAATTATTATATCATTAATATTTTATATAGTACTTACAATTTACCCGTTGGTAGAGAAAATATTCTTGAAATTAAAAGCAGCATTAACGTAAGTCGCCATAACATATCGTAAAATACAGGAATCTTCGGTATGTAGTACCGCAGCACCATTGAGAACATTTAGGAACAATTGAATATCACCAGAATAAGCAAAGTTTCCAGCCATGGCTTCAAACATTCGTGCTATCAATCGCACCCACATAAATTTATGTAAGACATCCAAACCAAGTAGCTCCTGTAAACAGACAATTTTTGAGTTTTTAATTGGTCAAATAATGATAAAGTCTTAATTTAAAACATAAATGAATTATAGCAGATGTATGAGCATGGGCGTTGCCAGAAGAAACCATCTTAACATTTCGGTGAATTTTATTGAAAATATATCTTTTTTATTCATCATCCATCGAATACAGAGAGTGCTGTTAAAAAACGTTTCCTAGTTGCCTTCATAGCTACGCCCATATATATAACTTGTAAAGAACATATTACTTTTCCAATTTCTCCTCCTTTATAAAGATCTAAATCAGCTTCCAATGCTTTCCTTGGAAAAGATGGTAACTTCATTAGTTCCTCGTGTAGAAAAACAACTCGTTGCACAACCTAAAGTTATTAACAAAATTATAAAATTTTTTGATATAACTGGACTAAATTGAATTAAGTACTCTTTTTTATTTTACCATATCGACGTTTTTCAATATCGCCCATGTTAAATGCACTTTTCCAATTTCCACAAACTTCTTCAGCAACTCTTGTCTTTGCAGAGCCGAAAATGCTTCTTGCGGTTTCATACGAACTAGGCACAATTGAGGATATTGAGATCGTTTGAAGAAATAGAAATCTCGAACATAACCAAGTGGATTATGAATTTGATCTATATTTGTAACATACCTATTATTTTAGAAAATGTATGCATAGAAATAATCATAATTAACAACACTTACGAGTTTTATAATCAACTAAAAAGTGTTCCTTATGCTGACTTTCGTCAATACCGAAAAAATCTAAAGATTCTCTAAGAATTTGGCAAAATTGTGTATCTTCTTGTACTGGAAACTGAGATGGAATGCCACCTTCATCTCGATCTATATATTAAATAATATCATATTGTGAGTTTTTTGTTAACTTAGACAACAAAGTGATTATAATACCTTGCGGTCCATGAACTATTATTTTTTTTGCGGAAGGCACATTGGCTGTAAGTAGAATCGATGCATCACATTGCTCTTTACGGAGAATTTGCTTTAGATCTTTAAACATTATGCCATGAACACTATGTACAACCTTTAATTCAAATTGAATAATAAATCCAGAGAACAAAAACGCATTATATAAGAATTTATACAATACTCACCATCCATAAAATTGATAGAGCCGTGCCAACTAGTTGTTGACCACCTTCATGAGGCGACCGTACATAGAACATAACATATCCTATTATATAGTTATACAAAGCAAATGCAGCTTGCTGAGGAAGGCGAGGAACAAATCTAATCAAATGTCGTAATAATTTGAACATTGTTTCTTGTTTGTCACGCGTTAATCTTTCTAGCACGTATCGCAAAAATAATGCTGAGTCTTCTACCAGACAATTCCAAATCACTTGATAAGCTGCTTCGTATACCGCTGCCCCTAAGGGAAAATGGAATTTGAGATGACAATTGTTGATATTTTTGCGAATATTGATAGTATTGCATGTGCTTGCATGTCAGTCAGTTAATTAAAACTATATTATATTATTAAAATTATACTATATATTATTATATACCTTCTTGGCTCACAGCGGCATCATCTAGTAAATCCACAATGAGTACCACTGCTGCACATAAGACTGATGGAAAAAGTGAGTGAGCAGAGTGTAAATGAGGTGCTGTTGGACGCAAACCATCTCCTTCATCATCCCCCTGAGCTACAAAAAAATTATATAGATAATTAAAACTGATAGTTAAACAAAAGATATAAACACAGTTATTTTATTATGGGACATCCGGTTATAACTGAATAATACTTCTTACATTCTGCATGTTCGTCCGCTGGTGCATGGTCTAATCCTGGTTCATGAGCGGCTTGCACAGTTATTGGAATAGTTGTAAGCAGAAAACTTTGCCGCTCTGCTCGGCGTTTTGCTTCTTGCTGCATTAACGCATGTCGTATGGCTTCTGTTTGCTGTTTCTTTCGAGTCTTTGTAGCAGTTACTAGCGATCTCTAAAAAATATTATTAAATAAATTATTTTAAAATAACTGTTCTGTAATAATTATAATATAAATATATTTTCAAACTGACATGTCGCTCCTGATTAAGAGTGACTTCCATATCCTTAGTCTTTGCACGAGGACTCCAAGGGGGATCGACTACTGGTAAAGATTCTATACCAATTTTGGGTGAAGGTAAAGTGAACTCAATACCAGGTGGAGGAACTTTAAATGATAGATGAGCTCCTTCTTCCATTCTCGGCCATACTTGGTAACGCAACTTCCACAGAACTTGAAACCTTAGATTTGTTTAAATTTGGTTTGATTACTTATTTAATTTCAATATTTTTTTAAAAATAATTTGAGATTGGTTTATACCTCAATATGCCACTAATTCTTATAGCCGGATCTTTGTTCTTCAAAGACTTCTGCATAATATCAGTCGCCGTGCTTGGAGCTTTTACTGCCCCCAATATGAACAAAGCGGCTGCTGCAGCTGCTGTTTCCTGATTATACTCTAATAGTAATTCCCATGCAATTGGCAATGATTCTACAAAACTATCTTCCCCAATTACTGCCGCACCTTTTATTAACGTTGATATAGGAGCATGAAATAATTCTCGAATCTACAACATTTTATATTATGAATAATCGAATATCAAAAATTTAGCTTGTTATTAGTATTAATACCTGTGATTTGATATATTTAACTACTGAAGGATAAGCTTTAGGTTTGACTGTTGGGGTAAACGGCAAACATAAATTTGCTAGTTTGGGATTTTCATAAAGCATCCTGAAACATATCAATAAAATAGAAAAAAAAATCAATTTTATATAACAAATGAATATAAAAATTACCCGGCAGACCCTGACTTTGTCACACTATCTTTACGTGACCCAGGAGATATGCGACCACTTACGACAGTTTGATCTGAAACTTTACGTCCTCTGCTTCGTTCCCTTCTACTACCTATATCCATTTTTAATTGTTCAGAAAGTAAACCAAAATAACCTAGTTTTACGCCGAATTCCTCTCCATATACCTATAAAAAAATAAAATACTCCTTATATAGAAACCATTACATATTTCGTTATTAACTTACTCTTCTAACAGCTTTCACGAGTCTTCTAGCAGCACGCATATGTCGTCTGTAGCAAAACGTGTGGCAATATCCTTGATGGTCGCAGTAATAATTAAATGAACTTAGTACTTCCAAAACAGATCTCATCCATGGAAGGTTTTTAACAAGTTCGTCAGTATCGTGAGCATCTGTAGGGCTTTCGGGAGCTTGTTCATCGCTGAGAATTCCAGGAGATTCTTCGCCTGCACTTGCGCCTCCCTGCTCGGATGTATCGCTTCGGTCCGAAATCGAACTCACTTTTCGCTTGGAACGAATGGAATCGTTATGTTTCAGGGAATCTAGAAAATAAAATAAATTATGAATTGATTGAAGACGATTATTATTACTAATTATATAGAACGCCAACGTTGAACACTACTTACAGTCTGGTTCAGTATCTTTATTCTCCTTTTGAGGCCTTCTTAACTTTAAAGATCTTCGTTTAAAAGAACCGCCTGTCGGAGCTCCTAAAAGTAATAATTTGAATTATTCAACAAATATTTACTTTGACAAATTAACTCAATATTGACTTATTGATATATTAACCAGTAAACTTTAATTGACGAGTATACACGTCATAGGAAAGTCGTATAATTTTGTATATTGACGAGTATATTTGTCATGCGTATACATCAATTACTATTGGCTATTCTAAGTGCAATTTTTTATAAAACAAAATAATTGCTCAAACTTTAAGATGTCTGAAATATTTTAAGGCTATGACGTTATAAAATAAATTGTATTAAGTGGCACTTTACCTCATAGCAAGTCGTATTGCTTTAAAATTTTAAATTCATACAACATAATTTCCCGTTGTATGAATTCAATATCTTTTAAACAAACTTATAGTACATATGATTGTATTAATTTAATTTAATTTATTTAACATATTTTATCCTAAATAATGTTCCAAAATTGAATCTAATTTAAGAGTGCACGTCAACGGTGATCAGTACGAAACACAAAACAGATATATATATATATATATATATATATATATATACAGTACACATACTGAAAATACTAACATCAAACTATAATGAATTTTATAATTTAACTACTTTTCACAGGGCTATAATATTTTAAGGTAATCGTATCACCACACAGGAAGAATTTGAGTTCTTACTTTCATATGTATAATATTTAATTGAATTTATGTCGTTATTAGCTTAGTACGTAAGTAATATATGCTTTATGCCAACAAAAGTTAAATTAACTGATGTTTTTAACTTCCCGAAGAAGTTTTCATGAAAAAATCCGATTTTTTGTTCTTTCGACGTTTCAGTTCGATTTGAAAAAAGTATATGTGTGTTTATGTGTGTATGTAAGTCAATTTCTGACCTTTCGTCGACGTTTTGTCAAAAATAAATTGGATCAGTTTCGAAAATTTTAAAGCCATTCGGTGTAACTCGATAAGGAGCCGTTCATTAATTACATAAGGATTTTGGGGGAGGGGGGTTTGACAAAAAATCACGAAATAACACGTGGAGGAAGGAGGGGTATACAAACCCTTTTAAACATTTTCAAAAAAAAAAAAAAAAATTACAGTTTTTATTCGTAACTATAAATACACGTGATGATCGGTGGGGGCGAGAATGTAATTATGAATATCACCTCGTATTACCGAGGGAAAGGGGAGGACCAAAAATCCTTAAAAAGTCGATCATACCTCAAAAATCGTGATTAATGGACGCCCCCGAAGAATTAGGGTGTGTCAGTTTTATGCGATGATCGGCCGAGCCGTTTCATCGTAATTAAATGTTGATATTTTATTAATGATAGATTTTGTAGTCTAAAAATGTTATTTTCAAAATAATCAGTTGAATATATCATCGCAATAGCTGAGTCTCAATTCTTATTGATTGAATTGATTATGTACATATACTTGAAAGTGCATGCAACTTGCCTTAAGGCAATATGCTATATACAGCTAGTTAAATATTATACCTGTCCCTCTCCTCAGCAAAAACGGTCTGACGGGTTGAACCGATCTCATTGCTCCGCGTTGGGTTTGGCCACTTGCTCCTCCTGCAGTGTTGGTGTTACCATCTTCTGCTCCTTGCAGCGTCACTGCCGTATTACTGCTTCCGTCGGATTCATCTGGTTCGTGCAGAACGAAACTGATTTTGCGCTCGTTCTGAGCGGCTGTTACGTAAAACGATAGAAATACCAGATATTAGTTGTTATATTATATAGATATTATACGAATTGGGACAAAAATATTTACATGTACAACTTAATTCAACGTTCGAATAAAGAGAGCCGTTTTAAGATATTTAAGTAGATCAGAAAAAAACTGAAATGACAACCTTTTATTTTACCCTTTAATTGATGTAAGTAATATTAATACTAAAATGTGGAACAGATTTATCATTGCTTCGCGCTATCCTAATGTATAGAATTTTTTGTATAAAAATGTATAAAATCACACTTGGATATATATTTCTAACATCCGTATTAATATAACAATTTAAATATTTATATAAAATATACATAGATAATATGATGTTTATGTGTAAGTATATGTTAGTTCAAGTTAAGTTTAGTGACAGCATACGAAAGTTCATAATCAAAAAACAAATTGCAATAAAATTGCTTAATACTTTGATTCAAATTTAACTTGTATAAATTTATTCTTAATTAGTGTATATATCGACTAATATATTTTTCCTTTATATCAAGTGTACATAAACATGAAATTTCGAACTTGCTTAGGTTCAACATCCAGGCAGCAACAAAACATTCAACAAAGTTGATACCACGACAGTTAACATCTAATGTATTAAAATTACATTCAACAGTTATTTTGATCCAGTAATTGTATTTACGATTTCCATATTTTAAAACATATAAAATGGGTCAATAATTGAACAAGCACCAAAAAGTAAAAACAATATGGTTTTCATTGAATGTGTTTTATGTGTACATGCACAAAAAATATAAGTAAAATTATTCAAATTATATTTTGTATGTTTCATTGCAATATAAAATAAAAGGTAATCTTCAAAAAAGTTTTATGATTTCGGTGATCATAAAACTCAAATTCAAAACTCAAAAGTCAAAAATTCAAGTATTTAATTTAATGTATACATAAATAAACTTCAAACATTAAATTTAAAAAACTATAAATAAAAAAATGCAAAGAACTATATTCAATATTAAAATAATAATTTTAAAATTACCGATTAAAGTGATTGTTGCTGATTACTAATGGAAGTTTAAATGTAATTCAGCAATTTTTGCATAAAAAGTTTTGCTCAAATTTTTAAACCTTATCACTTTGCTTTTAAATTTGCCTAAATTATGCGTACTTTATATTCATCAGTTTTATCTCTAACAAAATACTTAAGTATTGCGTGAGTGTTATCCTTATAAATTGCAAAAAAATATAACAAATGAGATAAAATGTAATATCATAGCCTCATATATTGTGCTGGATTAATGTATAATATTTGTCTCATATTGTACCCAACGTAAATCCAAAATACGCTCCAAAATGGGTGTAACCTCTGAATTTTTTTACTGTACTCTGATTTGCATGAAATTTTGGAATTAGGTTGATCTCTCCCTCAAGTTCAAAAGTGAAAACAATTTGGACTCCGCCACCAAAAATATATGATTTTTTAGTAGCCAGTAACTTGAAAAGTATAAGTTTTTTTAAAAAACTTTAAAACTTATTTTTCTTATAATTTGTTCTTCTATCGATATCCGAGGTCATTTTGAAAAAATAAAATTACACAACTTAGAAGGAGTGACGTCTCCATTGGGTGGCGGCGGAGTCCAAATTGTTTCCACTTTTGAACTTGAGAGTAAGATGAACTTAATTCCATAATTTCATGCAAATTGGAGCACAGTAAAAAATTCAGATTCAAAACGCTCCATTGACTGGAGTATAAGCAAAAACTTTGTTTTTAAATAAAATTATACAGTCGATCCACAGTTCAAAATAGAACTCATATTGAATTTAAATAGACTTGATGCTGACAGATTCAGTGTTGCATTCAAATTATATAAAAAAATGTTTTTCTTACTAAATTGAATAAGTTAAAGAAAACACAAAATTTAAATTAAAAATGTAAATTTATTAACCCAGTCTAAATAACTCTTCTCAAAATGTATTTTCCACGATGAAACCGAACTCACCAAACCTATGAACTCAAAGATGATTCATGATACCCGATCACACACATAAATATATACAGACAAATCCATAACAACGTATAACTGCATTGGTACATTGCTTGAAGTACTTCGTTTAGAAAGCGAGTAGTAATGTCACAATGCTCATAATATACGAAAAGGCAAAAAATTGGTGGTGTTTGGTAACAAATATCTATGCAACGGCGTTCAACGACATATATAAGGTAGCAATGAAATACGATGCGAACGACATTGATAACATTTGGGTGTTCTGTAGTATAATGGTCTCGCAAGATACGAAAATAATAAAAAAATCGGCTAATCGCAGAAGAAGAATTTCGTTGTGTGACAAAATTACTGGCGCGCTTGTGAATTGTTTGTGGCACTAAACTTTTTTGTAAGACGCTTCTCCATCTGCAACTGGTCGAATAATTTCATTATTCTCTAGATTATCGAGATCATAATACTAGTACGTGTCTGAGCGTGTTCTTTGAATACCAATATCAGGTCCTGAGATCGACTGAAGACTTTGGGCGGACGCTTGTGAGTGTCCCATCGACGACAGCGCCATACTCCATCTTCGATTAGCTTCTCTGTTCACAAAGAGATTCATTACCCTAAACGATTTTAAAATAAAATCTGTCCAAAAAACCCAGGAAAATATTTCAATAGCTACTTCTTTCATCATTTTATAATACTTAATTTTTTTTCATTCACATTACTATTGTTTTAAAATTAAAAGTTTTATGCAATCTACAAAACAACTAATCTAATACACAAATATTTTGTATATTAGATTTCAGATTAAGTAGTTAAGCAATAATAAGAGATATATTTTAAACCCCCCAAAAGTTTAGTAGTAAATAGATAATTCTTTAATCTTGATTTAAATATTTATTAAAATTAACTTATAGCTAAACACATATTTTTATATTAATCATTGGCATAGACTCTTTCACAAACAAATGAAGCTTGCATAAAAGACATGAAAAATTTCAAATAACCATACCCGTGCTCCAAATTTTGTTAGAAGCATGATTTATAAATCATTATAAATATTATAAATATCACATGTGTGAACATTGAAACACATAACATCGATTTATTGTTTTGTGCGGCTTATTAATTGAATTTATTAATATTGGCGGTTTCTAACATTTTCGTAAACTTGTTTCACATTAGTAATACATATAGTATCATATACACCTAAGTCTGTTTTTACACGGAGATTGGTTCCAGAAGAATCCGTGTAAAAAAAAACGTGTAAAAAAAGACATTGATCTTATACAAAAATGGGTGATTTGTTCTTAATCTCTAAAACCTATTAAAATTGGTGAAAAACAAGAATTTTTAAGAACAAGAATTAAATTAGTGCTATTCACATATGCTTTGACCAGTAAAAAATGTTTGTACGCGCTAAAGGGGGATTCACTTAAATCTTTAAGCTAGTGTTCGCAAACTATCGATACTATCGATGGTTTCAGACGTTTTTCTTTCATAAATACTTTTTTGTGATATGAACATACATCGCAAAAATTTAATTTGACAAAAAAAATTTAGGTACATAAAATTTCAAATCGTGCTAAATGGAATAAATTCGTGTAAACAAATTAAAAATATTCAATTTTCAAACCGTGTTATATCAAAACCGTGTACAAAAAGACCGTGTAAAAACAGACTTAGGTGTAATTAAATTGAGTGTTAGAAACAGCCAATCAATATATGCATATATATATATATATATATATATATATATATATATGTATATATATATATGCATGTATAAATGTATATATATAATAAAAATAAACAGATAAAGGTATTAAAATTTTTTGTAAAAATTTATAGTTTTGAGTTCAAATAACGATCATTCATCCTTAATAATAGTTATTAAAAACATAAAGATAATTTTGAAAACATAAAACACAATATACAAACAAACAACTTTGAAAATAGAATAATGATAAACATCAAGATTGATAAATATAATTTTACATTATATAAAAATTACATTTATTATTAGAAAAATATAACGAACAAATTTCAGAGGTACCGGAGTTCAATATCAATAAAAATTAATCATAGTAGTCATTATAATATTTTTTAGTTTATATCAATTTAAAATGAATTATAATATTGCGACAACATTTGATTAATTTTAAAGATAAAATTCAAAAATATTTTCGGATATAATATTTTACCATCAGTTTGAAGTTTATCAGGATGATACCAGAGCGAAATGAATGAATGATCAACAAATCTGTACGCCGCACAACACCAAAAACAGATGAACACCAATTAAAATGAAAACCATAGGATTAAATCAAAATTTGAAGCAAAACGTTAATGGCAGTTTGAAATTTAGATGAATGACAAGAAGATGAAACAAGAAGTGAAATAATTTCCTGGGGCCATGCTATGTTTCTACACTACTGACAAAATGATAATGACTATCACCTGTAGACTCGTTCCCAAGGAGCTGTACGCTCCTTTGCTGCTAATTTCGACTGCTTCGGCAAATTTTGGTAAGTTTCACGTAGAAAGGAAGTGATTTCCAATAGAAGCATACAAGCCATCAACCTCAACGCCGGCGGACACTCAGATCCTGTCTTATTTACTGACGCTGAAGACGAAATAAAGATTATGTTTTATATGGTTTTAAACAGAACTAATTATATCAAATAATATTTATTAACTTTTCGTAGGGTTGGTTATAGTAATCGTAAAAAATCTAAAATATTTTTTTTTATATATCATTACGATTCAGAGGTTTTTGAACATTTTGGCATGCCTAAGAAAAAATGGATGTTTGTGTGTGTATGTGCGTATGCGTGTGTGTGCGGATACAAATTTTTGTCGAAGATTTCGTGAACACCAGCGATTGAATTCGGAATAAGGAGACGTGCTGATTAGTTTTTGGCAAAGGCAGGTCTAGCCGTTTCGGAGATACGGGGCAAAATATGCCAAAAATTGTATTTCAGTTTTTGAGATAACGGAGCGCCCAATTTAAATAATTCAAAAAAAATTTTACTTGTATTGACGAAATGAACAACGGGTAAAATTTTTGTAAAGGTCCAGCGTCTCCCGAGATCCAATAAAAAAAGTAAAAAGTAAATTTATAAAGATTATAATAATAAGTACAAATTTTGGGTACATTTATATGGGTTCCATACCAATGTTGACACGTTAGATGACTAGGCAGCGCTTTCGCGCTTAAATATTTCGACTCCAAATCAGCTTATGCAGCGCGATTGCTTAAAAAGTTCAAAATTTTCAAAATAATCAAAACACAAAATCTAATAATAAAAAAAAAATCTCAAAAAAGTCAATTTTTTTCAAAAATTTCAAAATTTTCCAAAAATCGAATTTTTTCAAAGTTTTGGTAAGTTTTTTTTTTTTAATTTAGTTTTCGGTACGGGAAGCCAGCAATTTGTTTTAAGGTATGATGCCATGTACAACTATTTTGCTACCTTCATCCAAAAAATCTTCTTCGTCATCTCTTTGCATATGGTACTTTGAATTTTCACCATCCGTGAAAGAAACATTGACTACGGAGCTATTTTCTTTATCAGCATTAACCAGTTCTTCTAAACGTGCACCCAATGCTTCTCCCCACTATGAAAACAAAGTTCAAAAAGTTCTATGAAAACAGTCAAAAGCTTTAAGAATTATCTAATTGACCATTTAGGTCATAATTTTCAATATATATAACATTTGGATTATTTTGTTACCTGATGAAACATCTTTCCTGCAGTTCGTTGTAAAATATGTGTACGTCTCATGGCTGTAGCATGCGCAGTACGGGGTGCAGGTCCTCCGGCAGCTCCTGGTCGTGCAGGCGGCGGTGCTAACTTCATCCAAGCTGGCCATTGGCCATGATTGCAACAATGAACAAAATGTGCGCACTCTACCAATAATGCGGCTCGCGAAACAACAGGCGCTTGAGGCTATAAAATTAATATTATGAAAACAGATTTTCATATAAAACGATGATATACAAAAATAAAATTATTTTATAATTACCAAGTCAAGTACCGCAGAAAGTAGTTGAGCATCGGGAACAGTTCCAGGTGGACAAGTTTCTAAAAGAATTGATAGCCTATTAGCGCCAGTGCGCACTGGTTCAATTTGAACTAATCTTCGTTCTCGCAGCACAACAACTTCTGATTCTCGTTGCTTGTCAGATAATTCCAAGGAATTTCTTCTGCTCATATCTTAAAAATAAACAATATATATTTAATATGATACAAGCTTCGTTAGAAATAATAGAAAAATTAAATATACAAATAAATATGCGACTTGAAAAACATGTATTTTGCACTTAGTATCAAATTATGATAGGGTACTATCAATATTTAAAAAACAAGTAAAGTTAGAAATTTTTTAACAAAAATATTTGAAAGTATAGGGCGAAATATGTATAACTAGCTCATCACGTTAATTCTTACGACGTTGCTATCAGGAGATAAACGGCAATGTTCGAAAACCCATAACAAAAGTATTTTCTTTCGTTGTTAGTTTTTTTTGTTGTGAGCGCTGTTGTATAGTTTATCTTATAAAACAACTAGTGGGGCGCATGGCATCGTACCTTAAGGCAAATTGCTGGAACTTCCCAAAAATTATTGTTTTTTTAAAAACGATTAACATTTTTGAAAATATTTTACTTCGAAAAAATTAGATTTTTGAGAAACTATAAACTTGACAAAAAATTACTTTTTTTGAAAAAAAAAATTTTTTTTTGAAAAAAAAAAGTTTTCTTTTTTTGACATATTTTGGAAATTTTGAACTTTTTTTCAAAGCAATCGTACTGCTTTAACTGCATAGAGACAAAATATCGGTGCGCCGCGTTGCCGTCTATCGGATAAACATTGGTACGGAACCCATAGGAATGTAAACAAAATTTATACTTATTGTTAAAATCTCTATAAAATATCTGATAATTTGATGTGCATATGTCTAATGATCATTTTTGACCGCCAAATGCCATTTTTTTTACTTTTTCTATTAGATCTCCGAAACCGCTAGAGCTGCCTTCATGAAAGTTTGATCAATTCTTTATCTTGTCAATACAAGTAAAATGTTTTTTGAATTATCAAAATCGGACGCTCCGTTCTCTTGAAACCTGAGTTACCATTTTCGGCACTTTTTGCCCCGTATCTTCGGAACCGCTAGACCTGCCTTCGCCAAAAACTAATCAGCACGTCTCCTTATCAGTACGAATCGAATGTTTTTTGAATTATTCAAATCGGTGTTCCCGAAATCGTCTACGAAAATTTGTATCCGCACACACACATACACACACACACATACATCCATTTTTTCTAAAAATATTCAGAAACATTTGAAATGTAAAGATATATAAATATTTTCATTTTCGATTTTTTTGCGATTACTATAACTTGCCCTACGGGAAGTTAATTAAATAACCTATACTTAAATATTATATTAGTTCTCATAAACTAACCCCATTTTGTACATATATAAGTATGTTTATTACAATCGTAGGAACGTTTAATAAAAATTAGTTAAATTATAAATTATAATATAAAGTTCACTTATCAAATCTCTTTCTGTATGTATAATAACAATTTAAAAAAAAAAAATTTGCCGGAACGCGTTCCGACCCAAAAATGATTTGCCAGAACGACGTTCCGGCGCGTTCCGGCTCGACAACACCACTGGTTGTGATATAGTTCATTTAGTTTAGACAGTATAAATACTTAAAGTGAAATATGACCTTCGTGCCCCGCCCCATCCTACTCGTAAAAAATGTATTATCGAATAACATAAATTTGCAAATCAAACATTTTATTTACATGTTCCAAGAACTTGCTCGATGCTGCTAACTTTCTTTTTTCCCTTGCCAAGTCCAAGTCTTCCGAGTCGACGTTCCATACGACGTCGCGCTCGTTGCAAAGAACGACTTAATCCGTCACCTGCGCGGCGCATGGCTGTTAACTGCAGCCCACTTCCACTTCCACTCCCGCTTCCGTTACCACTACCATTACCACTGCCATTACCACTTCCTCCTCCTCCACCGGCCTGACGTAATCGGATATCTTGCTGCCTCGTCACCAGCCAACTTACTGTAAAAGTAGTATGTATATAAAGTATAAATAAATGAAGAAGAACGTACCGAGATGTTTGATCGATTAGTTCCAACTTTTAAACAAAGTGATACATCAAACATTACTAATTACAGGCCGATATCATTATTATCAAACTTTGCTAAGGTGTTTGAAAAAATTATTTATAAAGAACTAATTCCTTCTGTTAGAACTTCAATTTCTACTAATCAACATGGATTCATGCCTGCCCGTTCTACGATAACAAATTTAATATGTATTAAACAATATATAGCTGAGAATCTTGACACTAATGGACAAGTTGATGTTATTTACACTGATTTCAGTAAAGCTTTTGACAAAATTGATCATAACATTCTTCTTACTAAATTATCTAAGATTGGTCTTAATTCTTCACTTATTTATTTTTTTAAGAGTTATCTTCATAAGCGTAAACAGTTTGTTTATCTTAATGGATTCTTGAGCAACATTGAAAATATCAGTACAGGTGTTCCTCAGGGATCCATTCTTGGTCCACTACTATTTATTATTTTTATTAATGACATTTCTGATATTATTAGCTGTCCACATTTATTATTTGCAGATGATCTCAAACTATATCTCAAAATAAATTCAATTAATGACTGCTTATTATTACAGTCTCAACTTGACTCTTTCCAATCTTGGTGTATCTATAACAAATTACATTTAAATATATCAAAGTGCAAATTTCTTAGTTTTTCACATAAGCGCGTTCCAATACTTTTTGATTATAAAATTTCTAACACCAGCATTGATAGATGTAATAAAATTTTGGATTTAGGAGTTCTATTTGATTCTGGTTTTTCACGGATCATATAACTGATATTTGTAATAGAGCACATAAATCTTTAGGTTTGATACTGAGAAATTGTAAACAATTTAAATCTACCAATGCACTTCTTTGCATGTACTATTCTATTGTACGTTCAAAATTAGAATATGGTTCGATTATTTGGTATCCTCATCAAATCAACAACTCTGATGCGATAGAGAAGGTTCAGCGAAAATTTCTGAAATACCTTTATTATAAAACATATAAAATTTACCCTGAACGTGGCTTTGACCACAACACTTTACTAAAAGAGTTTGGTATTCCTTCCTTTGCTTCACGTCGATTTATCTGTACAATTATGTTCTTATTCAAACTTTGCAATAATTCTATAGACTGTCCTCTTATTCTTAGTCAACTATCCTTTAATGCTCCAAGACTATTTACGCGTTCACAATTATTTTTCAATTATCCTACTCCTAAATCTAATTCTCTCTTAAATTCGCCTATTTTACTTATGTCCTCTAACTTTACCTTAATTAATAATGAAATAGATATTCACAACACTTCACCTAATCAAATAATCTCCATCTGCACAAGTTAACCTTTATATTTTCTTTTCAAATATCTCATTATTTTACCTTATTCTGTTTATAAATAATATTGTTACATTCTGCATTATATGTAATTTTATCTTAAGCATTTTATGTTACTAAATGGTTACTAACTATATATTGTAATTTTGTATATATTTTAATTGTTATTCATTATGTAAAATAACTGTATTTTTGACTCCTCTTGGAGTAATCTGTGGGCTATATATTTAAATAAATAAATAAATAAAATAAATAAATAAATAAATTACCAAGGCCACTAAATCTTTCGCGTACTCGTCTTTTCATACCAGGTTGAACATTTTCATCAAATAAAGTTCTTTCGCTTTGACGTGGTGTTAAAACAGGTCTTGGCTTCCGGCGCAGATTTGTTCCCGCAGCTTGATTCATTTGGCATGCTTCTTCATCTAATTCAGTTTCCAATAAGCTCTAATCCAAAATATAATTTTGTATTCAGTCACAGTAGAATTTTATGATAAAAAAAATAAACATAGGTTGTAATAAAAAGTAATAAAATTTATATAATTCTTACGCCATATGTTGAAGGGGTGCTACTTTTTTTGAAGAATAATTTTTTGTTAGGTCGCTCTTCCATAGAAAAAGTATCCATGTTGTGCAAATGCCGAATAACCCTTGTGATCTGCAATGCTGTGTCTTCATGATTCTGTCTCACCGACGATCCCAGTAAACAACTCAACGCAACTCTTCTGAAAATACCGCCATGAGCTCCTTTTACGTACATTATCAGTTGCCGAACATCGCAATAAAGTGTCTAATAAAATAGATTAATTTCATTAATAATATATAAGTAATATATGTGTTACGGTAAATGTGCACTCTTGGTGAATGTGCACATTGACCCGTGAATGTGCACAATCCCCAAAACGCTAGGTGAATGTGAAGTTCTCAAACAATCAAATTAAAAGAATAATGTACGTGCGTACTTGAAGCGGTCTAGTTAAATAGTTAATAGTGAATAGTTAAATAGTGAATAGTTAAATAGTGAATAGTTAAATAGTGAATAGTTAATAGTTAAATGTTTATAAGTAAATAGTTAATAGTTTAAGTAAATAGTTAATAGTTAAAAAGTAAATATGTAGTTAAATAGTAAATAGTTAAATAGTTAATGGTGAATAGTGAATATTAAATAGTAAATATTTAATAGTGAACAGTGATAACTATATAGTTTAATAGTTAATAGTTAAATAGATGAATAGCAAATAGTGAACAATTAATAGTAAATAGTGAATAGTTAATAGTAAATAGTGAATAGTTATTAGTAAACAGTGCATTAAGAATAGTTAAAATGTGGATAGTAAAATAGTGAATAGTGAATAGGTAAATAGTTGAATAGTAAAATAGTGAATAGTAAAAAGTGATAACTGAATAGGTAATAGTAAATATAGAATAGTTAATAGTTAATAGTAAGTAGTTGAATAGTAAAATAGTGAATAGTGAAAAGTGATAACTGAATAGTTAATAGTAAATAGTAAATAGTTAAATAAGTAATAGTTAATGGTTAAATAATTAATAGTTCTTAATTAAATAGTTAATAGTTCATAGTTAATAGTTAATAGATAAATTGCAAATGATAAATAGTTAATAGTGAATAATAAATAATGGATATTAATATTCATATGACTAAAATGAATAATATAAATATAAATATAAATATAAATTAAAATAAAAATATAAATATAATATTTCACATTTGCCGGTGATTGTGCACATGCACCAAAATATGCTCATTTGCCGTAACATATGTATTGATTTCGACTTACCAAATTTTCTTGCATTTTAAGCTCTTTACTAAGATCAAAAAAACGAGTAACTAATTTTTTGAAAATAGCTCCAATAACTTGACTTTCGGCACTCCCAGTCATACCATTGCCAAAATTTGTAAGATAACCACCTTGACCTGAGTTAATAAAATCTGGTGATTTTGATGAACTTCGTTTGCGATCTGAAATAGTCCATATTTGTTTGAATTTTCATTTTGAACAGATAAAATTAAATAAATATTTACTTACTTAATGGAGATAGTAATGAACTAGGATCGATACAGAAACCGACCAACGAGTGTAGAAAATCTAGCACTTGAGCAAGTGGTTGCTTTGTAACCAAGTTTCTGAGGTATTGCCTTGACAAGGACGGAGCCGCTCGCAATATACGAGATAATATGGCATGGCATTGCGTACGAAGAAAGTCTATCAAAAAGAAATAAACATATTAGTAATTAAATTATGATTTCAAGTCTAGTATTAACTGAATTAATTCACCTGCAGGTGGCCCACGCAATCCTTCGCCGCAGCCATGATGACAGCCCAAATGCCTCAATGATTTTTCAAAAATGCCCATAATTAGCTTATGAGCAGTAACTCCGTATTTTAGCACACCCAAGTCCATTACTAATTCACATAAGTTTAAGGTAGCTTCCAAAACTCTTAGTGTACAACAAGTGTTGTCACGAAGTGACACTGAGTATAAGGCTTGCAAAATTACCTGAGAAAAAAACAAAAGAACCAATTTTATACACATAACACAGGCCTACAAATTTTTTTTGTTTGGTGCATCAAATGTTGGAGCTAATTCTTACAGTATTTTTTGCTCTGATTTCAAATCTGCAAACCATTTTTTGGTATCAGCTCTAGTTTGGAACTTGAAAAAAAGTTGTCGAAACCAGGTCCATTCTAGGTCGTCACGGAAAAGAACTTTTCACAGTGTCAACTAATGTCCCAACTAAGGCCGAATGGGTCTTGTAAGTATGTACGAGTAGGCATGTCTCATTAAAATAACATTCTGAATTGTATTACTATTTTGTACTTTCATTCCTTATATATCATATATATCATATCTTGAAAACTAAAGCTCATAGAAAAAAAAAAAAACAATGTCATTTTTGAAATCAGCGCCCCAAATACACTTAAAAACAGCATTAAAATCGTTTGCACCATTTTCTTTGATGGCCTGTGTAATTGTTTGGTAATATAAAATTAAATATTTTATACCTGTAGATCTAAAGTTCCAGTTTTAGTAATAAAGCAGCCCGATCCTGGTGCCTCCATTTCGTCCATGACCTGATAGGCGATGTGAGTATCGGTTTGCGAACGAGCAATACCTTCTTTCATGCTACTGGAAGGTGTTATTCCGTCATTATAACTATCTAGTTGAGAATCCATCATCGCCTCAAAAATATAAAAAATTAAATTATTTATATTTAATTAATGTATTTTTATTATATGAATGAACATCACCTAATATAATTTCGGTAATACGAATTAAATAATTATATTCAAATAGAAACGGATCAAAAATCACCTGTTGTTGCAGATAATCAGGCGATGGTACTGGCGTATGCTCGGTAACTGTTATAATTGGGTTTTTGGGAATATGAACTATTTCAGAAATCGGTATACCTCTTGTTGCATGTTGTATATCACCAATAAATCTAAATAAAACATATACTGAATAATAATTTATTAAAATTTCATTAATTTTGTTTGCAGTTTAATGATGCTTACCTGAGACTCGGCATACTTTTGCCCTTTATTAAACTAGGTATAAAACATTTAGTTAAAGGTTTAGCAATTTGTTCAGAATAATACGTCTGAAAGGTAAAATTTGTTTTTTAGGTACAATTAAAAATATATTTACAAATGAACAATTTAAAATTACCGTATGCTCAAAATGTAAAGGTTTATTGAAATCGATATTTTCCAGTTCACATTCAGACTTAAATTGCATACGGGCATCCAACGTGTCAGCACCTGACATTTTGCCTGAACACCTATTAACACTACAACTTCTTACAAGTTTATTAGATTTTATATCGGATAATTGCTTCACTACAGGACTTGGGGAATCTAAATTAAAACATACTTTCAATAAATATATAATTTGATTTCAATACATAGGTTCATATTTCAAAAATCACCTTGCGGACTTTTGTAAAAAGAAATTTCTATCTGTGGGATTGGGAGGGAATTGCTTCTCCTTCTCTGCGCCGACTGTGATATTGTTTCTTCGTGAATATCTCGCAATCTAAAAACAAAAATTATAAACACAAAATTCAATATATGAGTTATGCAATTGACAAACCTATTATAAAGATAATGAAGAGCCCAGTAGATGCCTTCTTCTTGCCAGTTGGCAATAAACAAACAGCGCACCACAGCAACATCTAAAAATGTTGCCCGAGTTACGTCAACACCTTCACGATGTGCACGACTGGAACTTTTGCTAGGCGCAGAATCTTTACTTTCCACGGAATCTTTTTCAGAAGAAGAGCTACCTTTATGTCTTGGTACTGCAGGTAAAATACTAGAGCCAGCTCCGGGACTTCCAATTCGGGATAAGGGTCCAACATGAAAAAGGCTTGGATCAGCCTAAGATTGATTAAATTAAAATTTAATTTAATTATATTTAATTTTGTGGAACTTTGATCAATTTTATAATATTTTGCTTCAGTTTATTACCGTATAGATAGCTGTATCTTTCAGGGTAGGCGCAGTTGGTAATCTAAATATAACAACTCGTTCTTCTTCTGTAAGCGATTCCTCAGGTATAGTTTCGGGAAATACACTATCCTTTGGTGACGATACCCATGAACACTAAAAAATAATAAAATAAAATATGCAGACAATTATGACAATATAAAAATGATAATTATATAAGGGAGAGTCCATTAACAACGTGATCAATTTTTTAACGATTTTTGGACCCACCCTCCTCCTTGGTAATACGTGGTGATATTCAAAATGACCGCCCCACCCACCAAACATTACTTGTATTTTTAGTTAAGAGAAACAATTGTAATATTTTTTATTCTTTCTGAAGATGTTTAGATTTTTTTTAAAAAAATTATGTAAAAAATAAATACACGTGATATCTCGGTATACCCCTCCCTCCCCACGTTATATTTCGTGGTTTTTTGTCAAAACACACCCCCCACCCTCTAAAAACCTCTCGTGATTAATGGACGCCCCCTAAGAATATTTCTATTAATATCGCATCTAAATATTTGGTCAAATTACCTCTTCATCTTGTTTTGGTGTTCCAACAGGATCAGATACTGAAGTTGTGGAAGAACTTTCGATTGGATTGGAGTCAGATGCTTTTGATGCGCTTTCTATATGACATAAAAAATAAATGGTAATATTCATTAGTATATAAATAAATGTATATATATATATATATATATATATATGTGCATGTCTTTGTAATATTTCATATCGTTCCTTACTTGTCTGCCGAACATTAGTTACAGCAAAACATTTGGTTATTTGCTTGCATGGTGCACTAAAGCAATTGGCTAATGGTGCTCTATATTCCCATAAACCTTGCCAAAGTTTTAGTCCGTTTTCTAACCGAAAATTCTGGAAGTCTGATTCTTTCAGGTGATGAGCGATTGGTGCAAATAAATATATGAAGAGCTGTAAATTAATTTTTGAGAATATATTTGCCACACCTGGAACCATTTATGAATAATGATTACGTTGCGCGACAATAATTTTTTTTTCCTGAGATGTTATGATGGTTTTTAAGTAATTCGTAGACGCTGATTATGGAAACAGTAACAGAAATTTGCTAACAGCTTTAGTTTTTGAGATATGCCAATGTGCTAGTTTTATCTCAAATTACAATTTCAGTTTATGCATTCAAGAGTCCTTTTATATGATTTTCGAGCATGGACAAGATCTGACTAGTTTCGTCTAATCTTTCTTGATCGCTCCTCCAAAGTCATGATACCTTTATATCTCCAGCTCTGCTCTTTGCTAATATCTCCAAGATGTTCGAAAAACCGTTTTGAATAAGAATGCGGGTAATGAATTCAAATTAATTACATCAAATATATCAGTTTTTAATTCTTCCTGCCTTCTCTTTTAACGTGATAAAAGAGAATAGTAGAGAGTAATCAAATCCATTACGTGGTAGGCAGAAAATATTGATGTTCTGGGTTGTTCATCATTAGCGTGGTATTTACCACACAGAAGAAACAATCGTCGTGGTGATTCTGAAGTTTTTTCTAAATAGTATGAATGTTTATGTTCACTGTTTGACCATCCGGTTCGAATGGACCAAAAGTATGCTGTGACAAGATAGTTTGCAAAAATGTATAAAAAGTTCGTGATCCACCGAGATGCTGCCGTACTCAGATATATTAAGATAGTGGCTATATCAGACCGATTAAAAGATGATAAATGTTTAATTGTTGTATATTTAAAGGAAATACTACGATATTAAGACTTATAGATGATATGTTACTTAGATGGGGTTTGAATTAATACTTGTTTGTTACATGAAATTTTAGATATTACTTCAGATATTACTGTTGATTTAAGACTGATGTTAGTTAGAAATTTTTGGTATTACTAAACTACAAAGATTTTACAATTTTATATGATTTTTCTGATTGGTTTGTTTTTGTGAGTTCAAGCGACATCTCATTACATTTTTGATCAATCAGGTATTAACCGGTGATTTCATGGTACGTGGAATTCGATCGTGAGCAGGTGATTAGAATTTCTTAGAGAAATGGATTAATGGTATAATGATAGATTTAGAGATGCATGACAATGAGAAGGATTATTTATTAGTTCTTAATTATATAATAAAGGATGAGGGTTTATTATTGCTATCCTGTATGAAGGTAATAAAATATAATAATATTATTTCATTAGACCAGGGTTGAGTAAGGCGTTAAGAGTTTATATGTTTTTTTTGCGAAATTCGGTTTTAAAGTGGTTGAAATACTATGCTGCAATACTCATAGTCGAAATGACCAATTCGGGTAGTTCCATAAAACTCAAAAACTAAAGCTGTTACGGAAAAACGGAAGGTATATTTGAAATCAGCGTGCAATTCTAATTATAAGTAGATTTAAAAAAAAGTCCGAGAAAAAAAATAAAAGTGCCAATTTGTCGCGCAGTGTTATCATAAAATTAAACTTACCGTAATTGTAGGTATTGAAAATAAAAATCTAAATGGTGCAAGATATCTGCTGGTCTCATTCTCGCCGTCCGTACATTCTTCTGCTGCATCCAACAGCATCCAATGAAGGGTATATAACAGTTTGGTTTCGGCGGCACCGAGACTTTGTAAATCTTTAACTCTAAAATAAAGATAACAGGTAGATAAACAAATGAATATGTTTAAATTTCAAAATTTTCAATTTACCTAGAATGCAGTAGCGTAGCTGCACAATGCATAACATGTGGTAAGGCGGCTTGGACGAAACGCCATCTAGGCACTGATTGTAACGCACCGGCCAAACTCGGTGATAGTCCAAAATGAATATTCTGAACTATTACTTTTTCAAATGACTATGGGAAACATAAACAATTAATATAATTATCTAGTCATCAAATATATAAATTAACATAACAATACAAATATATTGTAGCCATACCTTGCAGGCTTCTTTTAATTCCTGTTAGCGTAAAAAGATATAAAAATAATGTTACTCAAAATAAAAAAAAAATGTTTTTGAAATAAAACAAATTGTACTTTTTCTATTTTATTTGATAAAACTAAGTACAAATAAGCTTCTAAAAGTGCAAAACATATATTTACATCATAATAAGCCGATGTGCTCTATTCACAATAGCTATTCACATAGAAATTATGCATGCATACTACATATAACACTAAATAAAATTGTATATTAAATATATAGCATAATTACAATATAAAACATTATTTTTATCCATCCAAGTCATCAAATGGAATTAACTAATTATGTCTTTTTAACATGTTCAATATTTTACTCATAAATAACATAGATTATCGCTAACTAAGAAGCACAATGACTTTCTATCATGCAAGCTTTGGATATATATCAAGGAAATACAAAAAAATAGCTATGCAAATATCAATATAGAAATAGAAATTTATAATATAGATATTATGATATTAAATATCTTAATATCCCAAAATAAAATTTTCAGGGGACTTGTATTTAACTATATTTAAATATTTTCTTAAAAATAATTTTGTTTAATAAATAATAATAAAATATGATAAAGATAAAGCTATGACTTTACGGGTAATAAAGATGCATTTTATAATAACATTTTTTTAAATCGACCAGCTTTATTAAAGTACTCTATACCAAAATCGAGATAGAATTTCATAAAAAAATTCAAGAAATAGAATATTGAATAATTGATGTTCACTTTTCGTTCACTGCATAATTCATTTAATATTCATTCTGAAATCGGGAATGCAATTCGAAACCGATATTGTTTTGACAAAAAGTATTACGTAAATGTATAAGGATAAAAATTGAGATAAAGTTTATTTATTTTTGTGCAAAATATATTCAATTATTTGTTGGAAAAAATATTTTAAAAGAATTCTTAAAGATTATCTTATATTATATATTATATATATTACATCAAAAGTAAAACTGTTATAAATGTTTAAATTTCATGAATGTAAAATTGTTGGATCAAAATTAAACTTTTATCTAAGTCCTTTGAATTTAGATAAAATTTATTAGAAAATGGTTTGAATAAACTACGCAAAAACGCTTTTAATTTTAAAAGATAAGTCTTTACAAATTAATTTATTAAATCTAATAAGCTTATAATGTTATTTTTTATCACAACTTTTATATATCAAGTGAAAGTTTAATAAAACACTTTTAATTTGGTTTAATTCGAGCATTAGAGAAGATTTCCAAGTGGATATTATAAAACATAAAGTTTTTATAAGAATTTAAGGTGACCATTTTTTTAATTTTAAACCCGGAACGGAATTAATTTAGATTAATCAAAATTTAGTTTAATTATCGAGGTTAATTTAAATACATTAAAGATGGATTTTAATTTTTTTACATGAAAAATTGTTAGAGCAAATACTGTCCAAAGATTTAATGAAAAACTGTAATTTATTAATCAGAATTATTGAGTACAAATCTTTTTTTTCTGAACTATAAATATTTTTTAGTATGTTTTTTTTCTTTTAAAAAAATGCACAAAATTTTGAACAATTTTCTTTATAATTGAATTTAGTAATTAGTATAGCTTTAAGTGCGTCTATTTCAAGTCGCTTATTGTAAAATGCACAGATTTTTTCAAATTAGAATTTTGTAAATATGGTTCTAGTTTAAACATATGAATTGAATGAATGAATGATATAAAATTTCTTAAAAAATTGTATAATCCGGGACGAAACACATAAAATCACCTTAACAAATATTATAATTCAAAATACTCTGTTTAATAAAATAAAATAAAATAAATAAATAGTGGATTTTAGTGTTATTATTAGTGTTAGACATAGTAAGAAAGAACTAACTATATACTATTTAATTTTTTTTTACTAATAGATTCCTTGGTCGAAACTCAACACAACATATACAAATAAAAGACTCAACTATGTAATATATTTATGGTGATCCTTAATATGAATATTTTCGAATATTTTTGCACCCAGAGGCTCAAATGCTTCCGAAATAATAAAAAAAATCTCTGGAAGTTGTAGTTCTTAATATTAACTTTAAGATAGTCCGCACTCCAACCGAAGTTTCTTTTGAAAATAACATGGGTAAAATTCCATTTATTTTTTAGAATTTTATAACTTTGCGACAAGTAAATCAAAATTTTTAGAGTAACATTGTATTTGCTTATTTTGACTATAAATGAAAAAAATACAAAAAAATTTTGATATAATTTATAAAATAAGTATTTACTTAGGAAGAAGAACCAAGAAACTTTGGTTGCAGTGCGGACTATGTTAGAGTTAATATTAAGAGCTAAAACTTTCAGAGAATTGCTTTTTATTAATTTGGAAGTATTTGAGCCACTGGGAGCAAAAAAATTGAAAATATCCTTATTAAGCAATATATATATATATATATTTATATATATATATATATATATATATATATATATATATATATATATATATTCGTGTATATAGCTTTGTGTGCATTGCAGAAATTAGCATTAAGCTACCAGGAATCTACTGGAACTGTCATTGTCTAATGAAAGACATTTATCATGACATACGTCAATGGCAACTATCTATAGCCGAAAATAGTATAGTACAATATGAAATAGTTGTATGGAAACTGCGTCTAGCATGTCAGTTCTAAAATGCATGGATTTCTACTGGAATAATTTGTGCATTTCGTACTTACATGATGTCCGGGCCCGTGTTGGCAAAACTAATATTGTTTGCATCGCCAATTCAATGGGTTGAGGACAAGCAGCGACAAAAGTGTACAAAGCAATTGTACATGTGAGAGCGTCATGTGGTTGAGGACAGCACAAATCGGAAAAAGCACAATCAAAATGCAATCTCTTTATTATCAACAAACAAACACACATTTGCACACAAGCCGGAGTCGACACCCACACAAAAAAAAAACAGATTAACCGACGACAAGATTTGTTTAACAATAAATTAATAAATAAAAACATTTTAGCAATGAGGATAATAACGTTACATAAAAGTTTATCCATGGATGTATGATTCCGTATGCATTACTTGTAACATATTTTTTTAAATCAATTTTGAAACTATCAAGCCTTGATAGCTTCAGTGGCTTCCAACATTTTTATCACCGCGCCCCACTTCCCGCTCTAATAAAAAAAAATTTGTGCCTCCCTTAATTTTTTCAACAATTTCATTTCATAAATACTCCACTGATATTATCAAACTACAATTTAATATGCAACATTATGTAAAAATATGTATAAAAAATAATGTCAAAATAATAATAAAATATGTATAACAAATAAATTTCAAAATTTTTGGTTTATTTTCGAAAATAGTACTTTAGGAACAACTGTACGCACCCCCCTGAGGGGTTGGAAATCGCGGCAATCTATACACTTAAACTTTATTATTGTAAAATATATAGTTTTGCTTAAGGTTTAACCGCTGAGGAAATGGCCCTGTAATATTTAGTGCAATTAAATTAGAAGAACATCTTTGGCATTTCCTGATTCTCTATCTAGCTGGCCCATGACTAAAATGTGCAATAAAAATCTTTGATATTTACTGAATTTCTATTTAGTTGGCTCATGACTAATGATTACTGAAATATGCAATCTCAATTAAATGGGAATCTTTGCTAAATCTCAATTAAATGGCTTATGGTTAATCAGTATTAAAATGTGCAATTAGATTAAAAGAACATCTTTGGCTTATACTGAAATGTGCAAATAATTAAAAAGAAAATATTTGGTTATACTGAATCTCCATTTAGTTGGCTTAAATAAATTAAAAAACATCTTAGTCATTTAAGAATTTCTAGTTAGTTGGCTTATGTTATTGTATTAAAATGTGCAAATAAACTAAAAAAAAATCTTATGATCAATCAATACTAAAATGTACAATTAAACAAAAAGAAAATCTTTGGCATTTATTAGATCTCTGTTTAATTAACCATTTACTGGATCTCCATTTAGTTGGCGTATAAATAATATTTATTGAAATGTGCAATTAAATGAAATAACATATTTGGCAATTACTGAGTCTCTATGTAATTGGTTCATAATTAACCATTACTAAAATGTGCAATTAAATTAAAAGATTTTTTTTGGCATTTACTGAATCTTCATTTAGTTGGCTCATGATTAATCATTACTGAAATGTGCAATAAAATTTAAAGAAAATCTTAGGCATTTACTGATAATGAGTCTTTTTGTAGTTTATGATCAACAATTACTAAAATTCATTTTTTTTTAAATTAAAACAGGTTTTTCTCGATCAGTACGATTAAGGCACCTTGTCCTCCTTGTCGTACCACCTGTAGCCTTATTATTAGTCGTAATTTCCAAACAATCATATAAAATTCAATCTGTGATTAATTTTATTTAGTTACTAGTTACCAAGTCGAATATAATTACTGAAAGATCACTTAAACTAAAATAATAATATCAAAAAGTAACCAATTTAGTTATAAAATGATCAAGTCCGGATGCCATATATGCTTGAACTGTTCATAAAGGTAAAGATTTCATAAAGTTACAATCATTTGGTGTTTTTCCTTTTTGAGAATTTTTGAACTATGTATTTATTCATCATTTTTTGTAATTTATGAAAATATAGGCTGAGTACTACTTAGGTAGTTGTACGACTTGAGCAATTTTACCCTTTCATATATTCTTTATGATGAAGTGGTATTTATTAAGAAAATATGGGAATGTTGAAAAATCCAGTTTAATTTTAATAGAAAAGTGTGGAAACTGATGAGTAGAACATATTAATTAATTAGCAAATTAGGCAGTTACAAGAAAGATGTCAATTTTTGGACAAATTTACTATTGCGATACCTACTCGAAAATATATTATAAAAAACATTTCAAAAGTTTTCTGAAGAGTTGCCTTTGGAGAGTGGTTTGATTCGACAAACACCAGAATATTTATGAATAAACGTTTTTCAAAAAAATATTTTATTATGAAACAATCCGGATGTTTTTCACTATATAAAGTGCAGCAAAAACAAAACAGTCATAATAGAGATTTTTCGACGTAGACTGTAAAAAAAGCATTTTTTAAAAAATAGATTTAAATACATATTGTGAATATGCGCTAACAAACATATTTTTAGCCTTTTGCAAGATAAAATAAATAAAAGTACTTGCTATTTTGCTCGTAACATGTATAATAATTGCAAATAAAATGAAGATAAAATAAGAAAATATTTAAAGTACTACATCATGAATTATATGACTCATATCACTCTTATTACTTGTTTGTCGATTTAAACGTTCAGAATTTGTTATGAAATTATATGTTATTGAAGATTTGAATTAAACATAGTTATTTTCTTTGCACCTGTTTAATGATTGGAAATTAAATGAAGGTGTAATAATAAATATTGAAAGCATTAAATCATAAATTATGTGACTCATTCATAATTATTCACAATTTTTGCGCATTTATAAATTTAAGCAATCAAAAATTGTTATGGAATTGTATGTAATTAAAGATTGGAATTAAATTAGTATATATAGAACGATATCAGTTTTACACTATTATTAGTTGTTTATCGATTTAAACGTTCAAAAATTGTTATGAAATTTTATGTTATTGAAGATTAGAATTAAACGTAGCTATTTTCTTCGTAACTTGTATAATGATTGGAAAATAAATAAAGGTGAAATAATAAAATATTGAATGTATTAAATCAATTATTTGACTCATATCATGATTAAACAGTCTTAATGCGTATTTATATATTTCAGCGATAAAAAATTGTTATGAAATTGAATGTTATTAAAGATTAAAATTAAACGTATTAGCATATACAGAACGATATCAAATCGTTGAAGATTAGAATTAAGCGTAGTTATTTTCTTCGCAATTTGTATAATAATTGAAGAAAATATAAGAAATTAAATGAAATAATTTAAATGAAATGCAGGTGCAATAACAAAATATTTAAAGCTTTTTATCATAAATTATATGACTCATTCATAATTATTCACTCTTATTGTGCATTTATAGATATAAGCAATCAAAAATTGTTATGGAATTGTGTGTTATTAAAGATTAGAATTAAACGAATTAGCATATACAGAATGATATCAGGTAATAAATTCACACCGATTATTATTTTCCAAACAAGTTTTCTACACGCCACATTATTTATCATCAATTAGTCACCGCACGCTATAGAAATGAACACATTAAATCACGAATATGATAACAATTTAATTGGAATTCTTCAATTCAAATGCAATCGCAGAAAAATGTGAAAATAAACAATAAAAATGATTTAAAACATTTAAACAAATTTTAATTAAATTTCCGTTATAATCTATTGTAATTAAAACATAATTTAATTATTGGAAAAATATTTGTGAAGTATTTAGGATAAGATTGCTCAAGTCGTACCCAGGATATAATTTGTGAGATAATTATAAACTATTGTAAAATAAACATAATTTAATTATTGGAAAAAATATTTGTTAAACATTTAGGATAAGATTGCTCAAGTTGTACCCAAGATATTGTGAGATAATTATAAATTACGTTATCTGCTACCATTAATCTACGTTATAGTTAAACAAAACTAATACATCGTGTAAACAAACGTTTTCAATTGAAAGGCTGGTCAATTTTGTGAAAAAAAATAATTAGAAAGTTTTCTTTGGTAAAGTTTCTGCTAATCTTTTTTGCTCAATTGAAAGCACGTTAAGTAAGGTGGCAATATTTTTAAAAGACAAAATCGGAACGAGGAGGGAACGCGGGGTTATGCTAATTACTCAAAAATTATTTTAAAATAACATATATTATTTAAGTATAGAATAAAAAGTTTATTTTTTGAATAAATCTATTTTTTTATTACAACTTTGGGTTTTTAGTAAGAACCATATTATTTTATTGCATGTTAAACTCTTCTTTTACCTATGATGCCATTTTTATTCACATATATCTTATATTTTTCAATCTACATGTTTATTTCGCTTTTGAACCTTGTATAAAATTCTTCATACTTTACTTGAACAATTTAGCACTATTTCGTTCGTTAATTTTCGTTAGTTTTTGTTAATTTTTGTGAAATTGAAAATAAAAGTTAGAATTTATTAATGTGAGAAGCTATTTTAACCCTTATTTGGAATTTTGTATCAGGAAATTTGGTCATTTATATGTGTTGTCTCATATAAGCATACTCGTTGGCTTGTTATTTGATATATCACATCTTATGTAATTTTGTTATCACCAAATCGCAAAAATTCAATTTAAACTTATATTTTTCGAAAACTCGAGACAGTCCGAAAGAAAAGATTCAAATCCGGGACGAATGTTGCTTTTAGAAAAACCCGGGACACAAGGTGGAAATCCAGGACTGTCCCGGACAAACTGGGACGTATGGTAACCTTAATGTTAAGGCAAGAATATAATCCTAATATTTTTTTACTAATGTTTATTTATATTACTTATTCGTCAATATTTTAGGCGTATTTAAATGAAGTATTCTCACTAAATTTATAGATGTGGAAGGTAAATTGAAAAAGTAACTAAAAATAATTTCAAAAGATAAATGAATTCTAAAACCCATATCTAAAATTCCTTTTGCACGTGGTACAATTTTTTTATTATTGGTACAAATTAGTACAAAATAAGTACGTAATAATACAACAGGTCCGAAATGATGTTGCTAATTTGGTCTTGCTAGCTTAAGAGAGGTAGTATTATATGTTCAAAAATAAACAAAATAATTTTTATCATATACCTGGAGGATGTTATTTAGTACATTAAGTTCAAATTCATTTTTTATTGTTGCTATATTGCAACATTTTTCTGCTACACCGAAAACCTGTTTTAATAAAAAAATAAAATTGTACTAACTTTTAACCATAAGTCAACTAAATAAAGAATCAATAAACATAAGAATCAATAAAAAATTCCTTGCACTAATTTAATTGCACTAAATATTATAGCATCACTGTCTTAAGCAATTTTACCTTATTTAAGTCATAGAATTTATTTTAAAAAGTACAAGACATTAATTATAAAGAAGTATTCTTACTGAGTTTATAGATATAAAGGGTAAATTAAAAAGGTAATTAAAAGTTCTTCCAGAAGATAGATGGACTCTAAAATCTATATTACCTATCTCATAAACGCGACATCGAGTACTCTATGTTCAAAAATAAACGAATGATATTTAGTATATTAACTTCGAATTATTTTATCAATATATATGTAACATTTTTCTGCGACATAAAAAACGTAAAACAATATGTTTTATTAAAAAAAATTGTACTAACTGTTAACCATAAGTCAACTAAATAAAGAATCAATAAACGCCCAAGAATTCCTTTTAATTTAATTGCACTAAATATTATAGCATCACTACCTTAGAAGTCATTTAAGCATTTTTACCCTATTTAAGTCACAAAATTTATTTTAAAAAGTACGAGCATTTATTATAAAAAAGTATTCTTACTGAGTTTATAGATGTGAAAGGCAAATTAAAAAGGTAATTAAAAATTCTTCCAGAAGATAAATGGACTCTAAAACCTATATTACCTATCTCTTAAATGCGACGTCAAGCACTGTATGTTTTTTAAATGAGCGAAATATTTTTTTCCTGAACCTGAAGGATTTTATTTCCTATGATAATTTCGAATTCATTTTTTCAAATTGCTGTAATATAATATTTGTTCTACGATATTATAGACGATTAAAAGTACATTCATCATTGTATTTACAGGTTAGTGCATGGGAACAATTGTTGATTATTTTTTTGTGGTACATCTAAAAGGAAAAAATCACTTAAAAATTGCAAACATTCAAAGCTTAGCTGATTGATTTACTAGGTGGTGTGTACTGCACATTTGTATCATCAAATGCAGTGTTTTTGGGGATGTGCAAGCCAACATCCATATATACATAAACAATATATTGTCATATATTTTATTATATTCATATATACATGTTAAATATATATATATATATATATATATATATATTAACAAAGTCTAATAATCGGGCATAACATCAATAAAAAACTTAAATAAAATGTTTTTTATTGATGTTATGCCCGATTATTAGACTTTGTTAATACATATGTCAACATCAAATTCAGAATCATACAAAATATATATATATATATATATATATATATATATACATAAAAATGCAAACGTTTAAAGTGTTTTTTGACGATATTTACAAGAATTAAAGCATACATACACTCACGCACATTGAAGCAAATATATAGATCATTGTAACGTTTAAAATATTAAAAAAAAAATCAAATTTTTTAAAAATATTTTAGATTAAATCAATAAATTTTTTCTCATCTCATTAGTATATATCTTTAAATATTAAAAATTAAATAAATTATTTTTTTCTCATCTTATTAGTATATATAGTATACCTATCAAATCTGATTAAATATATATATATGTATATATATATATATATATATATATATATATGTTTATAAATATTAAATGTTTTACAAGAGAGTCATTCACATGTGAAAAATACGTGGAAAAATAAGTTTATTTTATATATTCCGTTATCTCAATATCAATTAAGATTTAACTATTAAGAATGCACAAGAAACACAATAAGTTATTTAATGAATTTTTTAAAAAAACTATTTTCATTTATCTGTGTGAAATTGAAAAATGGACCCACAAATAAAAGAAAACAATTGTATTATCAATTATTTCCCGCTATATACCGTAAATTTTCGTAATTTATCTACAAATAAAAATATTTTTATAAGTTACCTAATAATAATTCATTTACTATCTATTTACAATTAGTAAGAAAAAGTATCAAATAGTCAAAAAATTGATATGTTAAAAATTCTGTTAATTTTATCAAATATTTTGTGCTCAAGTTAATTATATTTCAAAAATTATCTAGAATAAAAAAATCGGTTATTTAGGATTATAGGATGTTTTATGATTATCAATTTAGTATTTACTTCACGAGAAAAAGTGAAAAATAGTCAAAAATAGAAGAATTAAAAATGTGGTGATATTAGCAAATGTTTTGTGCTTTATTCCGCTAACTTCCAAAATTGATATAGCATTGAAATTTTTTTCGATATATTTCATGTTAATCAATTGAGTATTTATTTAGTAAAAGAATGTAAAAAAATAGCCAAGAAAAAGAAATGTTATAAGTCTTGTGATCACAAGTTCTAGATATTTACAAGACAGATACAGTTTGATAAAGTAAGCTCTCTATTTTCTTCAAAAATAAATTAAATTCAAGACTTTTAAACATGTGTGGGGAAATCAAGCAGGCTAGTGATTGTAGAAAAACAATTGGACTTGTCATATTTTTCATATCACATGTAATCGTGATTCCTAATTTGTATGTTTAAAATATATACTTATTATCATTTTCAAAATTGTTTTTAAATAAATGTATATATTATTATGTACAAAAAATAAAATATTGAAGTATATCAGGATTTTGCAGCAACGAGTGAAAGTGACACAATAAATAATTTTTAATGTTTTATGAATTCATGTAAATTATATTATGTGTTTTATGAAGAAATAAATATTATATACACTTGTAGGTTATGTGTTTCTCTAATGTAATACACACAAAGATTACCATACAAGAAGCCTCGTGTAGCTTGCCGAGTTTGGGTCGAGTGAAAGGCGCAATTTGCCGCCAAAGAAACGTTTGGACGGCGATTGGTAGCCCCAAATCCTGTAATCCTTGATCAGACATATTCTTCGACATCTGATTTGAATCCATTTTGAACAAAAAGAACCTATACGTTGCAAAAATTTCCTAACACTTCTTATATCCTACTCGAATTAATGTAATAGTATCAAAAATCTTAATCGGCAACATCGTAATAATACTCAACGTTTACTAAAATTTATCTCCAGCAAAAACTTTAACGATTAGGTATATAAATATCACTTTGCTTTTAATTCGCTTAGAACATTGTTTAATTAATATCTAAATTCATGTTGGCTTACAAATGATCCTAGTTATATACATATGTATCAATTTATAATCGTGCTTATACAAACGTCGTGTGAATTTATGCATGGCTACAGAATTTGTCGATTTATTTCAAAAGATACACGTTTGGATTTTTTGGTTCACAATTTTGCAAAAACTGATTTTGTGCATTTTTGTATGGTTCAGTTTGCTTCAAACTTAATCCGAGTCGGTTTGAATACAATCGTATTGAAAAATGTATGTTTTGTAATTGGAAATAACACAATGTGAACTTATTGCAGATGTCAAACAAACTGGTGACTGGAGATCTGCGCATCCACAAAATCACGCGAGCTGAAAGTTTTGATTAACCAAATGTAAGGGATATTTTGAAAAAATTAACAATAGGAAATATTTACAATAGATAGATAAACAATAGGAAAATTTACAATCTGTGAAGCCATTGCTCAAAAACACTAGATATTGAATAAAAACCATATAAAATGGATACTGAATCCATTCAAAATTGTTTTCCACTTACTAGGATAAATATAAAAATAATCCTATTTTATATAAGTCGTAACAAGTTTTTATTTAAGAAGCACTAGTAAATGTGATGACGCCGCAATAAGACGACTCTCTTTAAAATTGCTTTTTAATGTAATAAATCATATACCGCATAAAGTTTTTAGACGTTACGTCTATCACAATATGACACTAAAACATTGATTGTAAATTATTGTTTATAGATTATATGTTAACACTTTTTTGTTATTTTAATAAATTCTGAAAAAAGTATTTTGATTTCATTTATTTATATTATATAAATAAATTTATATTTATAATTATATGTAATAATGGGTAGTACTGCCCCTGGGGCAGAAGTTAAACTTAAGGTCCCGGTATGGCCGAGACAGTCTCGGGTTTCCACCTTTTATCTCGAGTTTTTCTAAAAGCAATTTTTATCACGGATTTAGATCTAATAAAGTTTTTAATCAGTAATTCTGATTGAAAAAAATTACTCATTTAGAGAGACAGAATTTTATTGCATTCTTAAATAGTATTTGTTATTTGTAAATCATTTTAAATTTTTTTGCATTCAACACCCCCTCCCACAAGAGCATAACTAAAAATGACCGTCCCGGTTTTAACTTGAAAAAATATGGTCTCATTAAAATTACAATATGGTCAACTACTCGATTCAAGGAAGAATAATAATGTTATAGATTTTTCATTGCCATTTCACACCGCAGTGTTATTTTCAATTTGTAACATATTTTTCATCGCTCTGATTATAAGAAATAAAACAAAAATACACACAAAAGCAAGATTTATGATAGTTGTAAGGGTTTTTTTATGCACTATTATATTTACAACCATCCAGTTAAGGACATTTAGTAAATTAGTGAATTTACAACTCAATTGTTGTTTTTCCATGTGTTATGGATAATATTAACAACATTTTATTGATGAGAATATAAACTTAACTTATTTTCTTATAAATGATTTCTTATAAATGATAACTAAGCTATTTCAATCTTTATCAGGAAAATCGATGACTTAAATCATATTTATTTACGATTCATAGGCGATTTTAGTAGTAAGAGTTTAACAATATATGTTCAGAGTATAATTTAAAATTTTATTGTCCAATTTTAGTACTGCATTGAATTGATTAATTAGTGTAGCTATTATTACGTAAAACCTCCCTAAAATTAATAATAAAAGGATGAATTATTTTGCCTCATAGATATCCCATTTTGCTATAGAGTAGGATCAGGTGACAATTTTTTTAAAAATAGCAAAAAACATATTTCTACAATTATGAATTGAGCTAGAAATTTTACTTAGTTAAAAGTTTTACTTAGTAATTTTTACATAGTTTCATACTTGTTCAATTGATATGTATTATTGCGATGTAGTTGGTAACTTAGCAAAAATTAACACTTGTGTAAGGTCAATCAAAAAATTTGTTTTAATAATTTTTGGTATATTAGTAAAATTGAAAATAAAAGTACAAAGTTATTAATGTGAGAGGCTATTTTAATCGATGTTTGGAATTTTTCATATGGCAATTTACTCCTTCATAACGTATTGTTTCAAATAAGTAATCACACACGGACACACCATTTTTAAATATTTGTAATCGTTATTTTATTATCAAGTAATTGCAAATATTCAATTTATACCTATACTCTTTAGAAACCCAGTACAATCCGGGACAAAAGATTTAAATCCGGGACAAATATTGCTTTCAAAAATACCCGGGACACAAGCTGAAAATCCGGAACTGTCCCGGCCAAACTGGGATGTATGGTCACCTTACTAGAAGTCAAATTAAATTTTTGTACCCGGTATATGTTAGGTATTTTATCAGAATTTTGGATTCTCAGTCAAAAATTATAAAACCCTCTTTACAATTGGATTTTATGCAATTCCAACTGATGACATAAATATAAACTGATGAAGCAGCATTTAAAATATAAATTTGATCCGTACTTCTTAGTCGTTTCATGGCACAAAAAACAATTCTAATTTTTTTCTGTAAAATTTCATAAGATAATATCCATAGGATTTTCATAGTCAATTGTCGGAAACCATCCCCAGATATCATTGATTCGAAGCGACCGCTTTGAGTCTGCGCGTACTTGGTCCATGGAAATTGTGTTATATAACCAATAACCCAGCCTACATTCCATACCTTATGACATATTGACGAATGCACTCAGCAAAATTATAATCAAATGCTTCCAAGTTAACAATCTTGTAGCCGCACGACAAATTACTTTAACAGATATTACAAAACTGCTTGAATTGAACAAGACATTTTTAAGATAAAATGATTTAAATTTTTAAGGATTATACAGTAACACGAAACGCCTTAACACCTAGTAGAGGCACAAAGGTCCAATTTGGCTTTGTGCAATTATATTGTACAAACCATAAAAATTATATTAAAACAAATAACGCAAATCAAACAGATTTGACTATGTGCATTAAAATTCCCAGCTAATTCACCATTGTAGAAATGTGTCTTATTTTTGCTGTTTTTCAAAAATTTGTAACCTGTTCCTTTTTACCCCATCGGCGGGATAAATTAAGACGGCCAGGTGGCAAACAGCTCTAGTGTCTTATTTTAATTTCAGAGGGATTTAACAATATAATAGCTACATTATTCAACAAATGCAACATAAAAATTTCATGGGTGCATTTTTAACAGAGATCACTGTAAATAACTCTGATCTGGTATTTCTTCAAAAATATTCAGTTGGAATAACTATTTTTTTATTTAATTTATTTCTTGTAAAATTGTTTTGTTTAACTTAATTTACTTCTTCATTTCTTATTTTCTACACCTTTGTCAGGGTAAAGAATCAATTGGTCTTTTATAAAGGCTATATAAAAAGAACGGTTGAATCTTACTTAATATTAACAAAACATCCTATAAAAAATTAAATTTATTAAATTTTTATTAAGTATACATAAAAATTATATTAATAATTTTACTGCTTACAACCAAAATACTTTTAACAACAAAAGAGCATATTTTTGTCATAGATTTTCCAAAATTACCATTTTTCTTTCGGTATCAACGTCGCAGGAATCAAGGTGACAACGTATTTATATAGCTGGTTATACATCTTTTTCCCTCTACTTTCAAATATTGCTGTTAAAAAGTTCTTAGCCTAGTTTTTGAAATATCGGTGGTGGACTTTTTTACCGGTTCTTTAAGCCCCGCTCTACTTTTTTTTGCCATTTTGCAATTTATGTTATTTTATGATACTTATGGGTATAACACTCAATAAGTAATTTTGTTAAAGTGCTAAGAGTTTATATTGAATAATGTATTGGGAGCTTGAATAAGTAGTACAAACATATAGAAAGTTCTTCGAGATACAAATAAAATAGCCTACATTCCACACTAGGCTCTAAGCAAAATTGTAACCAAATGATTTGAATTTTCAATCATTATATAAAAACACACTACATCTTAACGCTAATTATTTAAGATTCTTTTACTATAATGTAATATTCTTTTACTATTTTCAATTTAACCTGTTTTATGATATTCATCTGTATGACATTTTATGTGTTTAATAATTTTGGTAAATTAATAATTGTAAGAATTCCGATATATAGCGAACTTCACAAAATAGTACAAAAGTTCTTAAAGAAACAAATAAAATAAGTAATAAGAAATTTTATAATAATTTAGATTTTCAATACTCAAAGTGCAAATAGATTTTGAGTAGATAAGAACTTTGATCTAGCACTATTGCAATGAAAAGATATAATACATTTCTCAAAATACCAAAGTATAAATAATCATTAATTAATTTGTCTGTATTTTATAAATAGTTGAATTAATAATTTGAGCTCATCGTATTATTTTCCTTAAACATTCAGTAATTATTCTCTGCATTGCTAACGATCTATTGTATAATATAAATATTAACGAATTTTAATTAATATTTATTTATGTAATTTTAATATAATTTTTGAATTTTCTGACTAAAAATATATACAAAAAAAGTTTTAATTTACACCCAACTTATATTCCAATTTTACAATTTAAATTTATAACAACCAATGTGTAAATTGTTTTTCACTAGATAAAAACTTTGATCTAAACAACATTACAATGACGCATAATGAGTTTTTCGAAATGGTACTGATGTCTAAATCACTATTATTTCATTAATTAATTTACATTATATGATCCATTAAATTAATAGAGTTTGAACTCATGATCTTAGTTTCTTCAACTACTCTCTCTGATGCTTT